TCAGAAGTGCATCTTGGCTCATTGTCCTTTAGAGCACATAGTACACACATAGTTGTGAAAATAACATCTCCCTTTCAAGCTCCCTGGAGACCAAGCCACATAGAACAAGTCTCAACATGCTCTCTCCCAGTGACAGGTACACAGAGAGCCACAGTCTACTGGTCTACCAGGAGCCCATCAGATGCTGGTCCTGGCGCAGCTGTGTGGTGTGGCAATGCTTAGAAGGCTTTTTTTTTTTTTTTTTTGGAGAGGCAGGGGTGCATTTCTGGGTGACAGTGTTTATTCAAAGACCATGTCTTTCTTGAATTTTACTGTATTTCATCAGGTCAGTTTCACCTCTTTGGAAAACCCAAATGTGAAGACAAATGCAAGGTTTTTTTTAGCTCAGCAATAACTGCACAAATAGGTGGCATCCAAATCCTAGGTGGCCCAGGACTAATCACGGGTCAACACTGAAGCTTTTTAAGTCATGTCAAATTTGCCAGGAAATCTGTATCTCAGACTGTCCCACCCAAAGACCCTGACTCAAAGCTGACAGAATTAGGGAAACCAAAGCTGTAAACAAGACGTTTTTGGCGACTAAATCTCCACTACCGCTGAACTCCTTACGTAAATGAAATCCTTACTTAACTCTTTGCTGCTAGTGTTTTGCCTGTTGTTATTATGTTGTTGTGTGATTATGTGATTATGTTGTTACCCTTTATTATTACGAGGAAAGAAAAATAACCTTTCTTAGTAAATACATTGCAGAGTTACCCTATAATTTGATGGCAAATAATTAACACTTCTTTGAGAAAACAAAACTAAAAATTAGCATAATCAGCAACTAATTTACCACAAATTAATTTAAGGTCTTTCTTGGCTGGTTCTATATGTTCCTGGCTTTTGTTCAAGAATATCCTTGCATGCTTATACAATAAAACAAACTGACAAATTAATAACATGGCAATTCTCATAAAGATGGAGAATATAATATTACATGGCTAATTGGAAGCAGACGTGGGGCAATTATTCTTATATGGGACTACATAGTAAGCCATTATTTTCTGGTATATGTGTAACAAATATATTTATTTTTAACAAAACAGGAAGAGAGGCCAGCCATGGTGGCTTGTGCCTATAATCCCAGCACTTTGGGAGGCCAAGGTGAGGCGTCACTTAAGCTCAGGAGTTCGAGACCCATTGGAGCAACACAGTGAAACCTACGTCTCTACCAAAAGAAATTTTTTGAACTTGCTAGGGGCCAGGCACCATGGCTCACGCCTGTAATCCCAGCACTTTGGGAGGCTGAGGCAGGCAGATCACGGGGTCAAGAGATCGAGACCATCCTGGCCAACATGGTGAAACCCCGTCTCTACTAAAAATACAGAAATTAGCTGGCCATGGTGATGTGCACCTGTAGCCCCAGCTACTTGGGAGACTGAGGCAGGCGAATCGCTTGAACCTGGGAGGCGGAGGTTGCAGTGAGCCGAGATCGCGCCACTGCACTCCAGCCTGGCACCTGGCAACAGAGCGAATCTCTGTCTCAAAAAAAAAAAAAAAATTGCTGGGTATAGTGATGCGTGCCTGTGGTCCCAGCTACTTAGGAGGCTGAAGTGAGAGGATTGCTTGAGCCTGGGAGTTTGAGACCAGCTTGGGCAACATAGTGAGACCCTGTCTCAAAAAAAAAGTAGGAAGAAATGTGAAAGTTAGGAGTTCACAAATCGAATATAGGGTAACTAATTTTAAAATGTGTTTGCTCAGCTGTCATATGAAGGCCACGGGAATGTTCGAAAGAATATTGCAGTACTCTCTTTTAAACCCAGCTGTGAATTCTACACTCTATGTATGCCGTAGAAAACCTACCACGAGTGCCTAGGCATGTTCACAAAACCCAGGTCAGGTGTCCACTTGTAGAATGAAACCCAGATGAAATTGAGCCCAAAGAAGGAGACTAGAAAAGACTCATTTTGAACTAATCAATGGATTTTACATCAAGTATTTCTTTTTCTTTTTTTTTTTTTTTTCTGCTTGTTTTTTGATTTGGTGTCTGGTTTTTTTTGTTTTGTTTCATTTTGTTTTCAAAGAGCATGAATGATAGGATAAGAAGAAACTGAAACACCTTATCAATCCTGTGAGGCATATCATAAGTGACCCTCAAAAGTTAACCAGTCTCAGCCGGGCATGATCTCAGCCAGGCGCAATCTCAGCCGGGTGCAATCTCAGCCGGGTGCAATCTCAGCCAAGCGTAATCTCAGCTGGGCGAGGTGGCTCAATCCTGTAAATGCCAGCACTTTGGGCGGCCAAGACGGGCAGAACACCTGAGGTCAGGAGTTCAAGATCAGCCTGACCAACATGGTGAAACCCCATCTCTACCAAAAACACAAAAAAATTAGCCAGGTGTGGTGGTGCACACCTGTAGTCCCAGTGATTCAGGAGGCTAAGACAGGAGAGAATTGCTTGAACCCAAGCTGTGGAGGTTGCAGTGAGCTCAGATCTCACCACTGCACTCCAGCCTGAGTGACAGAGCAAGACCCTTTTCTCAATTAAAAAAAAGTTAACCAACTCATTGTTTGGAGATCTATTTATTTCCTTAAGAAAAAAAGAGCTGACAACTGAGCACCAAGCCAATCATTGAATAAAGCATTATGGATAAGCTGCCCATGCCATGCCACTCCTGGTGCTATGCCACATGCCTCTACCTACACAAACTCCTCCCAAGCAGCATCTGAGAAAACAAGTCGTTTTTACTTTTCATAACATTCTTATCCTTAGAAATTGGAGGCAATTAGGTACTTAGAGGGACTTTCCCTAAAAATAAATAGCATAAATAATGGCAGGGATGAAAAGGTAACTGCAACTGTGCAAAATCAATGCAAGTTTATGGGAGCAGCACAGATGTAACAATAGAACTGACATGCGTACTATGCTTATTTCCAGCCAGGCACTTTACTAAGTGCTTTCTGTAATCTAATTCTTGATTTCCCACGGTAACCTCAAGGGCTAGGTACTATCATTGTCCCCATTTTATCAATGAGACAACAATGATACCAGAAAGTTAAGTAACTTGCCCAAGGTCACACAGCAAGAAATTAGCAAAGCCAGCATTTGATCCCAGACCCACTGGCTCTAAAGTCCACCACACTAGCGCGTGCCAACAGCCAGCCACCCATTCAAGACTTTGCTACATTCCACACCTGTGTTCTGCACTGGAGATAGAATGATGCATCTCACACAGCTGAGGAAAGAGAAAAGCAGACTGAGGGCAGTGCCTCAACAGGGACATCCGACCCCAGTGGGAACTGGAAGAGATGATGTCCATGCCAACTCTTGGGCATGTAGCAGATAACCAGGCAGGAGGGCAGACAGGGGCAAGGAGGAGAAACTCCATTCAGGCAGAGGGTACATAATGCACAGTTTCAAGGCAGGAAAGAACGTGGCTCCCTCAAGGAACAGTAAGTAGTTTAATTCAGCTGGCATAGTGGGACCACGGGGAACAAAGGGTGGGGACACCCAGCAATGCCGAGCCAAGGCCAGAGAGAAAGGAGGCAGAAATAGCATCATAAAGGGCCTTGTGGGCTGCCTAAGCAGGGGAGATGTACCTGAAATTCTGCAATAAACAACTAAGGAATTTTACACAAAGAAATGAAATGATCAGATCTTGTCCCCAGCTCACTGGCTATTACAAAGAGACAAGGTGGGAGAGGACAGAGAAATGAAACAGGGAGACTAGCCAGGAGCTGTGACTGTACATCAAAGCTGTACTAAGAGGCCGGGTGCTGGAATCATGAATCCCTGCAACCAGAGCAATGAGAAACTTCTTAAACCCAGGTGATGGAGAGGAGCAGATTTGGGGCCACACAGCAGCACTGTGCTCCAGCTCTTCCCAGTGGCCTCCCAGGGGCTAGTGTCCTGACGTTATGTCCTAGCAACTTGAAAAAGGCCAGAAACAGCACCTTCACCTTCTCTCTAGGGAAGAAACACACACCTGTTCTTTTCCAAGTCCCTTGCCACCCAAACAATTCTTAAAATCCTGATGTTAATCACTTTGAAAGCATTTCCTTATACTTATTAAAATGGGCTTGCATTTCAGTCAGAGAGGTTTAGACGGTAACTGGTTTCTGTAAGCCCGAAAGTATTTCTGAAGGATTATGATTCAACATGAAATGCACATTCTTGACCTTATTATCTCCAGCTTTCCTGGGTCTGGCCAAAGGCCCTCAGAAAAGGCTTTTTAAACAAAGATCCTGGTGTGAACTGCTGATGGACTTTGCTCCTTTATTTTTCATTGTTGTAAATAATTCCTGTTTAAATTCAAAACTTCCTTCTGTGTCTCTACAGATTCCTTCACAGAAGCCTTGCTCTCTTCCCAGGTAAATTGAGGTTAAAAACATGACATAGAAGCAGATGATGTTCAAGCCACCAATATCATGTATTCTTCCAAATTAAATGTTAAAGGTTCAAAAAACATTATGTCAATAAAGTTCCACTTTCCCCCCTAAACATGAATTGTTGATTCTACCAAAATGGGATACCTTTTGGAGTTGAAGACATTGACCAGCTCTGGACCTCTGAGATTGCGTCTGGAAGGCATCTCCCACATTGAACTTACCTGTTTGCATTTTTTGGCTTCAGGTATTAAAGCTTCCTTTGTCGGAAATCTCTTTGAACACCAGCTTTTTTTTTTTTTTTTTTCTAATTCGTTAATAGCCTCCTTACTAGAAGGGCCAGTTAGAATTTTCAGGACAAAGGACAGTGGGGTGCTGAATCCACAACCCTTCATTCTCATCGCCCTCACCCCCAAAGTCTGCTTTCAAGCCATTGTGTCCTCCCGCGAATGCTCTGGAAACCCTTTTTCAGGAAATCCCTGTTGTCCCACCTCCCTCCCGCGCAAGGAAGCGCCTGGCGACAATCAGGACACCCACGGAGGGCTCCTCCCCGCGCGTCCCCCTGGGATCTGAGAAGACCAAGACCTAGAACGCAAGGGGGTCGTCCTAAGAGCTGAGGGAAGCGATCTTTACCTTGACGAAGAGGGTGATGTCGTGCTCCTGCCCCGGGGCGCGCTCCTCGGACGCCTCGCCGTCCTCCCGGCTGCCGTTTACGCGCTCCGCCATGTGGTTGCTGAGCTGGGCCTGGGACTCCGCGGCTCCCCTGGAGGCCTCCCCATCTGGGCAGCAGTCGGGGGATTCCTCCTCGCCCCCAGCTGAGGCCTCTTCGCTGGGCCCCTCCGGGCTCCGCTCTCGCCTCTCCTCTTCCTCCCCCAACTCCAGCTGGGGCCCATCCCCGACCCCGTCCTCGCCAGCGTCTGCCCTGGCGTCCCCGGGGGCCGCTTCCTGGGACCCCTTTTCCCCTGGGGCCTCCGCCTCCTCCGCCGCGTCCGCAGCGAGCTCCCCCAGGCTGTGCCCCGCGCTCTCGCCCTCTGCGACCTCAATCGCCTCGGCCTGGGGCGGGAGGCTGCGGTTCCCTCCCTCCTGCGGCTCACTGCAGACCTGGCGTGCCCCTCCTGCTGGACCCTCGGCGTCCATGCTGTCCGCCGCCGGGCTCTCCGCGCCTACGCTGTCCCCCGCCCGACCCTCTGCGTCTACGCTGTCCCCCGCCGGGCCCTCCAAGTCTACGCTGTCCCCCGCCGGGCCCTCCAAGTCTACGCTGTCCCCCGCCGGGCCCTCCAAGTCTATGCTGTCCCCCGCCCGAACCTCCGCGTCTACGCTGTCCCCCGCCGGGCCCTCCAAGTCTACGCTGTCCCCCGCCGGGCCCTCCAAGTCTACGCTGTCCCTCGCCGGACCCCCCACTTCTACGCTGTCCCCCGCCGGACCCTCCGCGTCTACCCTGTCCCCCGCCCGACTCTCCGCTTCTACGCTGTTCCCCGCCGGGCGCTCCGCGTCTCCTGTGTCCCCCGCAGGGCCCTCAGCGTCTACGCTGTCCCCCGACGCCCCGCGCGCATTGCCTTCCGACGCCTCGGGCCGGTGCTCCGCCTCCTCCTGCCTTTTGGTGACCGCAGAGTCTCCGGGCGCCCCCTGAGCCTCCCCCGGGTCCTCGCCCTGCGCGTCGCGCCCCGGGCTCGCCCCCTCCACCTCCAGCGCGCCGCTCGCCTCCTCCCCTTCCTGGGGCACCTCGGCGCCCTCCACGGCTCCCTCCTCCGCCTCCGCCTCTCCCTGCGCCCCTCTCGTGCCGTGCGCCTCGGCCTCCCGGACTCTGTCCGGCCCGCCGCCTCCCACCTCCTTCACCGCGGCGGCGCCCCTAGTCACCTCCTCTGCGCCCCTCGTCGCCTCCTCTACGCCCTCGCTCGCCTCCCGCTCCTCTGCCCCCAGGCCCGCGGCTCCCGGCTCTCCGGATCTCTCAGCCAGGGGCGCGGGGCTCTCTGGCGGCCCCTGGGGACCCGGGGCACCCGCCTCAGGCTCTGCTGCCTCGGCCATGACCGCAGATCCTTGTCCTTGATCGGGACCCCTTCCTTGTCGCTGCCCAGAGGTCAGTGGCGCTGGGCAAGGGGCGAGTTGCGGAACCCTCTGTGTCTCCTCCGAAGGACCCCAGCTCGGGATTCCCGCCGTAAAGATTTAGCCGGGGTGCTGGGGCCTTGCACCGGACCCGCAGGGCAAGAATCCACTTGGTCCCAAGGCTCTGCGCCCCTTCTGCCCGGCTGAACCTCTCTGGATTCTTGCTCCACCGCTGGAGCTTCTCCCCTATTGCTTGTCTGCTTCCCTCCCGTACCCTAATCTCACCCCCGAGCCGCAGAGGTGCAGCGTGCGGCTGGAGAGGGCTGCTTTGCTCCTGCACCTTTGGAAGTGTCCGGCCTCTGCCTGGCGTCCTGGGGTTGACCAGAAGTCCTTGGTGCCACTCCATCCCCTGAGGCTTGGGCGGGGTTTATCTTCCCCTCCTCTCCCCCGCCCCGTGTTTGGGTGGCCTAGGAGCTTGGCCGATGACAGCCTTTCTCTCGTGACCTTTGTGGATTTTGATAAAAAGATTCTGGTTCTCCTAGCCCCTTGGGTGTTTCCTGGAATGGCTTCAAGTTCCAGAGTCATTTAAATCACCCCCTCCAAACACACACACACACACAAACCCAAACACCTCATCCCCACCTTACCGCAGGAGTGAAGCATCAAGCTACCCTGGTACCCAACTGAAGATATCCACGTTATACCTGGTGTCCAAGAGCAAGAATGTAAATCCCGGAGAGAAGAAGCAGGGGAGGCCACGATGGCCGCCTTCTCATGTCTGCCGGGCCCTCCGGAGAGGTTCCAGAAGCCCCTCATATAGGCGCACAAGGAGTCAGTTGAGCTTCTCCGAGCAGAGCCGGACACTGGTGTCCATGAGGGGCCCTTCTCCTGACCTGCCTGGAGAATCGTGGGAGTCCTGCGCTGGAAAAGGTTACACCCTCATCCCCAGGGTCTCTTAAGGGTGTAAGAGTCTGTGTATCTTGCTGATTCTCCTAGATTTTTAAACTCACTGCCAGTGCTTCTGCCTCAAAGTGAAGAGCTTGGGGGTCTGGAGGTGGGGAAAAGAAAAGCCAAGATGCTATGGCATTCCCTGGATTAGGGCTCTCTCAGGATCACAGACCCAATACCTTGTTTAAAAAGGAAATTATTATGGTGAAAACTATGTTGTCAGCTTATTATAAGCCAAGCTACTTCCAGTGGGTCAGCAAGAAACTGGGTTACCCCAGGTGGCGCTATGTAAATGTGGTGGAATGGGGATCCCAGCTCAAGACTGACTTGACTTGTCAGGCTCTATATGGCTTTGATACTGGCCTGAGATACATGAGCTCCTTGTGCCCACAGAAGGTTCTCTTTTCATTGAAAGAGCTGGGGGTGTCTTTGATGTGGCTTGGGGTCACACATTTGGACATCACCAGAATGTGTCTCCTAATTCCCATTGCTCATCACTGGTGGATGACAAGACAGGAACCCAGAGACACCCAGCTTCATGCTACCTTTCTCCACAGCTGTGCTCTGTCTGGGTAGGTATAGGCCAGAAGCTTCATCACCACAAAGTGGCATCTACTCAAAGCATGACACTCAAAAAGGTGAGCTAGAAATGCACCTGAGCTGTAGAAGCTCTAAGTATAGAAAAGGAATCCTGCTGCATTCACCAAGGCAAGATAGCAGCCATCACCCTTACCTCGTAAAGAAAAACGAAGCCAGCACATTCAGCCCCAATCAGCAAACACGGTGCAGGTTTACAATCCTTTATGCAAATCCCATGAGCCCAGATGTATTTCAGAAAACAGAATTGTTAGAAAGATGATTGTCTGATTTTACTGTATATTATATAACACAGCACATCATTTTGTGATCAAACACATTAATATTTCTGCAGTAAGACAGATGAGATATGGTAAAATCACACGTAGTTTCAGGTCTGTCCTCCTCCCCGGGGTTTAGGTTCACCTCCAACTGAATCCAAGCCATTCTGGTTCTGATTTTAGATGAGTTCCCAAAAAAAGCTTTCAGTATTCAGAGTCTTTTGGGATTTCAGAACGTTTATAAAAGGATTGTGGACCTGTGAACCACGGAAGGGCTCTAGGTTTATTTACACTGCTTGGAAAAATGTGAGATTAGTTAGATGCATAACTTTGTACTTAATAACAAACGAACTGTCTTCAACGCTCGACTTCTGCAAAGAACCAAATTAAAGACTTATGTGAGTAATAATATTCCATAAACTTTAACTCAATCAAATTTGATAGAAACGTGCTGGCTATGGGGAGAGGGGGTTGAATTTTTAGAAAAACCTCCTTTTGAATTGAGCCTAAAGATGATCAGCTACTGCTTGCAGACTTGGCACAGTCAGAAACAAAGTTGTTGGCTGAGTGGCTGAGAACTGGCCTGGATAATGTCCTTGTGGAAAAGCAATGCTCATAAAGTCTATTCTGTCCTGGAAACTGATCCTGTGGATCACACAAGGCTATTCGATCTTACAGATTTGGATTTATTATTTTATAGGGTTTGGGGTCATTTACTTACATTGACATTGGCTCTCAAAATAACATCAGTCTCTCTGCAGAATGTAGAATCTTTCACTTAATGATAATCTTAATAAGCACTTTTAAATTTTTGTTATGTATTTTTGCAAACTTTTTTGATTTTCTGTATTTAAATAAAGTTTATATTTAAATAAATGCAGGCTCAATGCTGAAAATATGGAAGACAGAAAATAACAGCTCTTCACAAATTTTCTGTAACCACATTACCGACAACTAAATATTTTATTTTAAGAGAGAAAGAGATAGATTTTTCTAGACGCTGGTTATATAGCAGTAAATAACATTAGGAAAGTCCCTCTTTAAACAGTCCAGAGCAAAATAAATAACTAAACAAAGAAATAAGATAATTTTGGATAATCTTAAGCTTTATATAGACACATATGCCCGTGTGTTTACAGACGTGCCCAAACTGAAAACCTTGGCTCCTTTTTTCCACACCCTGCATCCGACCTGCCAGTGAATCCAACTGGCATCACAATTTTAAAATATATATCCAAAGCCAGGCATGGTGGTGCACGTGTAGTCCCAGCTGCTCGGGAGGCTGAAACAGGAGAATCGCTTGAGCCCAGGAGTTCTAGACCAGCTTGAACGCAGCATAGTGAGACGCCATCACTAAAAATACGCAAACACACACACACACACGTACACACTCACACACATAAAATCCAACCTCTTCTCTCTACCTCCATTACTACAGTGCCAGTCCAAGCCACCATCACCTCCTGTCACCTCGATGATTGCCATCACCTCCGAACTGGTGCCTGGCCTTTGACAGTGTGCTCTCTACTCCATAGCCAGGTGATCCTCCTTGGAAATCATGAATCAGACTATACCACTTTTATGCTCAAAATCATTCAAAGATTTTCTGTCTCACTCTAAGAAAAAGTCAAATCTTTATGCCTGAAGTATGAGGTTCTACAAAATCAGGCAACCTTAGTCTCTTTCTGGGGTACTAGACTTCTGTGGCCCCTAAAACACCAGCCTGCTTGCTGTTCCTAGAACTTGTTGACCATTCCTGTGCCTGGGATGCCACCTATATTCTCATGGGTTACTCCCTCACCTTGCCACAGTCTCTGATTAACTATTTTCCCCAAGCACTCCATTGTAAAACACAACCCCATGCTCTATGCCTTATTTTCCTCCATAGCAGCTATCTTCATCTGGCACATAATATATTCTAGTTATGATCTGTCTACCCTACCTCACCACAGGATGGTGGTTCTGTGAAAGCAGGGGTTTTTGTTTGTCATTGCCGAGGACAGACCAGCACATACTAGAGCTCAATAAATATTTTCAGTATGAGTGAATACCCACATGCCTTCAAATACATGTGGAACAACCTGAACTAGTTTTGGAAAATACCTTTCTCAGTTAGTTTTATACTTTTGGAGGCCGAGCTAATGTCACAAGACACACTATTCACAGAAATTCTTATCTACTGAGTTTGCTAAAAAAAATACTTTAGCAAATTCTTTTAATTATTAGCAAGGGTCTAGTTGGTTCATATAAAGGAATACAAAGGAAATACCAAATAAACAGACTTGTGAAGGTCGCTATGAAGTCACTTCGAGACTTGCACATTGTTAACCTGGCCTCAACACTAGATTAGCTATTTAAATACCAGGGAGGGTTAAACAGAGGTGACAAATTCAGAGATGGATGACAAGAGATGAAGGTGTTGATAATTAAGTAACTTTTAATAATTATAGAGTTCTTCTGCCACACATGATAAGGAATCATGAAGCAGGAAAACTCTGGGATTACAAAGAAACCTTTAAGGGCTTATAAACAATTAAGGGTTTGTTGCTTTTGTTGTTTTTCCGGAAGGAATGGCCTCATTTCCATAGAAATCTGCTCTTTCTCTAGCAGGTATCTGCTCCTTTCAGAAGAGCCCTTGGGATTATAATGCCAGATATTGAAATTGACTTCATCCTTCTATAATGCAGGACATTAATCTAAAATATTTATCCTTTGATTGACCCTTGTCAATATGCCAGCATCCATAGCCCTGAGCACCTATTGACATATAACAGTTTAGATAATTCGATGTCTTACAGGAAACGCTGGAAAATAAAAAACAGATAAATAAGGCTAACGAGAAAGGATGTCACTAGAGCATGTCTTGTTCCCATGTATCCAGAAAACATCCCTCATCTGCCAGGAAATAGGTAAGTTGTGAATGGCCAACAGATGCACAACTGGCCATTGTGATACCTTACAATCTTTTGTTTTTACCATTTTACCTGACTACAGGTCCGTGAAAAAAAAATGTGTGCCATATCTCAAAATTAAGTCAGCACCTCTATATGATATAGTCATAAAAATGTGATCTAGAAAGACTATTTCTATACTATTCACAGAATTGAGAGGATCTAACCATCCATTATCCACCCATCCATCCAGCCAACCACCCAACCATTCATTCATTATCCATCCACCCATCATCCATCCATCCATTCACTTATCCATCCATCCACCCATCCATCCATTTATCATTTCATGAACTTTTTCTGAAATTGACTTCGTCCCTTCTTGTGACACAGATTCAGCTGGTGTTGGAGAAATAAGCATAAACAATCCAAGGTTCCTACCCTGCTGTGTAACTGCAGAATGGAAAAAGCTAACTAAAATGTTGAGCTTCTGGTAGTTTCTTTCTGGGGTCTCATGCCATGTTTGATCAATAGTTTAAATTACAGATTTATTTTACCGTATAGGGTATAGTTAGGGAACAAATATGTGAGAAACACACTTTGTGAAATTATGTTTACTACTCATAATTTGAGCTATATTTCTTAAAAACTTGGAGCCGAGTGTTTGAAATGTGTTTATTTACTTAGCACAC